GGGATGGGTGTGTCAGAGGCAATGAGATTGGCACAGGATAGAGCCGGGTTTAGGGCTGTTGTACATAGGGTCGCTATGAGTCACGAATGACTCGACGGCACATAACAACAACAGGTTTTGATTTGCAAGACATGATTCTGCCCATGCTGCAGGAACTTAAAATGCAAATGTCCATGCTATCTGTCTAAAGAGGAAATAAATGGAACACGGGAGCACAAGGCCATGAAAATTTCTCTGAAAAGACCAGAGAGAGACAGAGAGAATAACACAGGCCTTCACTGCCCCAAAGCAGAAAGCTGATAAAGAGTCCATAGCCCATCCTCATGGTGCCTGTAGAACCCCACCAGCGGCAAGAGGTTTATTTATTCATTGTTAACTCACAGACTCACAGCTGTGGTACTGAGATTATGGGATATATTAAGGAAGTGAGTTGGAGAATGGGAGAAGCAAAGAATATCACCCAGTACAAGTCCAGGTTTTAGCCCAAGTTCCAAGGTTAATTCCTCAATTATTTCAGGTTCTGGTTTCAGTTCAGCAGTCAAATCCTAATCATCCATCAAGGTTTGCCTCAGAGAGTTCTTCTCCTTCAATCATTTGGCAAGAAAAGCAAACCCCCTTAACTATGGCCAGCACAAATGCAAGAAGCCTCAGGTCACACATTGCCAGTTTGTCCACAGCAATTTCACAATCTTTCCACACCATTACCAGGGTCTCATTCTCACCAGTCTTGCCCAGTCTTCCTCCAGTGTTGACACCACAAGTCTTGCTGCCCAGTTTAGGAAGCACTCTCTCATGTCATAGTCTCACAGCTCTTGGTGATTTGCAAGACCATACTGATTTTCAGGACTATGTGTCTGCAGCTTAAGGTAGCTGGAGACAGAAGGGGCTATCTATAATGGCTAAAAAAAAACCCCACCCCAACTTTAGGCTAACACCACATTTTAAAAGAGAAACTAGAATATTTCCCACAGGCACTTAGCCTTTTCCCTTCCTCTCAAAAAAGACAATAATGAAGAAAAAACTTAATGTATAAATAAAAGATAATTACATTTAATACCAAAAGGAATCACTCTATTACCCTCTGCTTAACATTGTGTATTATTATGAAATCCGTATTTTATATTATTCTGTATTTTGGACTGATAGATTTAGAAGAAAGTCTACAGTGATGATTAGGTAGCAGTGACTACATCTCTTGGCTACATCTTAGCTCATACCATAAATCTTTTTTTTAAACCCTACTCACTTTCCTTCTACTTGGCATTGAAGCTCATCGTCTTAATATTTCTGAGTTCCTGCATGGGAATCCAACCTTCCCCCCCCCCCTTCTAGAGTTATACTTGAAATACCATTTACCAATCTTCATGGTTGTTGTTGTTGTTATGTGCCGTCGAGTCGTTTTCGACTCATAGTGACCCTATGCACAACAGCCCTAAACCCTGCTCTATCCTGCTCCAACCGCACCACCTCTGACACACCCATCCCGATTACCCCAGTCACCGAATCAATCCATCTCATAGAGG